ATTGTATTTTGGCATGTGAGTTATCAAAATAGAATCGAAGAGCATAACGGAGCCAGCGGACAAAGCATGGACTGACTAAGCAGCATAGCAGCTTTGATGGATGAAAGAAGTGTCCAAGTGTACAAATATTGATGCATCCTTATTGGTCGACAGTCGCGGGAAGAATCAAACCCCTGAATCACCTGTGCTGACGAGTCACTGTTGACTTGCTACTGCATTTTGGAGGGAAGCTAGGCGGGCTTTGGTGAAGGGGGAATAATAGAGAACATTTCATAAATGAAAATGTATGCCACAGTTTATTCCATTATGATCAATTGAATAACACGGGCTGGCCGCTAAAAATCAAAGAAATTGAAGGATTACTGTCGTAAAAACTAACAGTTCACGCCAATCCTCAAAAGAAAACAAGTATTAAGATGGATAAGTTTTATAACGGTATTTATAAGTTTTAAAGATTCGCCTATTGGGTCTGATGATGATGTCTAATCGAAATCGATTACCACTTAGCATCTTTTGTATGTATTTACCGTCTTGTGAGTTAACAGGATAAGTGCAAAATATATCATTACTAGTGTTATTAGACGTATATATTTTTGTCTTTCAGGATAGGTTTAACAATAAAATGTAACTCCGGTTCTATGGTACTGTTACGTAAAAAATAAAAATTCAAACTAACTTCGTCTATGCATTTATAACGGCACAGTGGTAGGATAATGCAACCGATCTTGATATATCTGAATGTGAGCGTTGGAGCTGAATAGATAAGTCAAAAATACCGTTGAAATTTATGTTTTAGATAACATACTCATGTTAGACCTGCGTGAAATCCAAACTTTGCTTTTTCCTATAGGTAATTGATTTCGCACAAAGCTGTGCAAATGCAACTTTTATTGAAATATGAATATGAGACAAACCAACCAGCTTTGGTGCGGAATTTTATATGAATCACATATCCGATAAGTATTCTTTGATAAATAAAAGATTCGTCTTTATAACACTTAAAACACATATTTACGCTTATACTGTTACTCACAAGACGGTAAATATAAAAAAAGATGGTGGGGAAGATGGTGGTACAATGCTGATCAATAAGTTATTGTTTGGTGTAATTTCCATATGTAATTCGCAGTCTACATTGCAAAACCCTGGACATGATTTAGCATCCTATATACTAAATTGCTTATTGTATGAATTTCCTTGTTGGATAATTTTAGATTATATTATTTCTTTACAAGTACACTATACTGAGACTTATTCACAACGAGGTATCTTTTTGTTAATGGAGACTATCAATATCGACATCAAATAACAAACTTGTGCACATCATTAACTACATATTATTGTGTCTATTCACATGCTAGGACAGAATTTTACCTAACACGATTGCAGTTTGATATGGTTCCTAAAATATGTATTCATTTAACGGTCAATAATCAATTATTAAAAATTCCAACCTAAAAATTGCTTAAGTTTTGCTAATCCTCCCCATAACCCTAGAGAAAATGCCCACCACTGCCACTGCGTGATCCAAAGCAAACACAACACAATGTTAAAGGATCAAAACTAAAATGTGTTAAAACATTTTACTCCAATCGCTTACGATTTCATTCACGAACACAAGTAAAGTTGATGAGTGTATTGCATCAACACTAACGCAAATTATACGTCAAGGCGTCAAAACACTGGTATTGCACGTTGTAATCTCGAGTATTATTTTAATCTCAACAACGCAAGGTCGACGTCGTCCCATGGCCCGCCTACACCTTCAGTCAAACCGAGCGCACGAGTCTCCGACGCTGCGTGAGCAGCAAACCTGCGTACCCAGTGAATTTGTAACTTTTCTGGACTTTCATTTAGCAGAAATACTTAACTGTGACATACACCTTACTGAACGACCTGTGACAATCAAAATATTGCTCATTTTCAAACTGTATTTAGGTACAAAATAAAAAATAAAAAAAAATAAATAAATAAAAAAAAAAAAAAAAAAGTCTCCGGCACTGTGCTGGCAGAATATCTGTGTACTCAGTGGATTGTAACTTTGAAAAATAATTGTATGACTTACATTTTGTAGTAATATTTTACTGTGACATACACTTCAAAATATTGCTAATTTTCAAGCTGTATTTAGTTACAAAATACGCCTTCAATGAAACCGATCATACAAGTCTCTCCAAACCATACTCGCTGAATTTGTAATCGTTGTCTTTTAAATGTAGGTATAGAAAAAAGTTATGGCAATACACTTAATCATAGATAATTAACGTGCACTATGCGTGCAGCAAACCTGCGTACTCAGCGAATTGTTATTTTGTAGGAAATTGTTCAAATACGGCTTAAATGTTTACCATTAAATTAATTACCATATACGCATCCAGTCAAACCGACCGCTCAAGTCTTTGGTACTAAGATAGCAGCATACCTACTTACTCAGTGAAATGGTAAATTGCTCAGAATTACCTTATAGAAATATTGTGATATGGAATCTAATACAAATTTCAGTAATACTGTATGAAACAAGAGAGTTTTTTGTTATGTAAATATTGTATTGTATTTTGTTTTGTTTTGACGTAGCTAATGCATTTTATGTTAATTTTGCTGAATAGACGACTTATGACTTATGACTAAACCCATGTTATAACTCAGTTTAGTTACCACACATTCCTTCAGTGAAACCCACCGTATGAGTCTCTTTGAGTGTGAAAGCAGCAAACCAGCAAAGTCAGTGAATTTGTAATTCATAAAAATATTTTTAAACGATGAACAGATTAAATTTATCATTTGTAGCCATATTTAATAACCACAGTTTAAACTGAAACTTAGTGTGAGTAGAACACTTTATATTTTTTTGTATTTAGTGATTTTATTATTTATTGTAACATTTTTATCACTTTTATTTAGTGGAAATACTTTACTGTGAGATGCACCTTACAAAAAGAAATTATGACAATAAACCTAAATAAAGTTAATTTTTAAACTGCATTCAGTTACCACACACGACTTCAGTCAAACTAATCGTTCAAGTCTCCCGCAAAAGAGTAAAGCAAGCTTGCGAAATAGTTACTAAATAAATGTGCATCCGTTCCAACAGATCACATAAGCTTAATGCACTAAGCAGCAAAGCTGCATACTGACATAATTTCTGGAAATACAAAAATAGAGTGAAGTATGTGATTAGTATTAAAAATGTTTGAGTAAAACTATATTATGTTTATTGTATGGTCTAGGCCTATGTAAAAAAACTGAATGGCATCGAAGTGTTTAAGGGCCTGGGAAGTATAAGTAAACCAGCAAAATCTAAATTAAAAAAAAAACTACATGGAACCTAGAGTAGGGAGCATATACTGCGCGAATATTTATCTTTAATAAGCACCTACGTGTTTGGAAATAGGTTAGAATAAATGATAAATTGCATGAAATCTCTACACCATTTAATGTTTTCACGAATCGTTCAACCAAACTGAATTTCAATAATTTAAAAACTTATTTCTCAGTTTATAATGCTGAGTAGGTTATGAGTTTAAATATGTGGTGCTCCCTTGCGTATACCCAACAAAACATGTTTTCAATGGACTAATCTATGCTAATTATGGTTAACACTCAACGTACAATTAATCCAATTTTATTGATCAACGACTTAATGAGTAAAACTTGAATGGACAAATGTCAAATTATAACCCTCCCTTCATGCCAGGATGAGATCCTTCAACCCTTATTTCCGTTCTATTATAATAACAACATCCTACAAGAAACCAATCGACAGGTACTGAATTAACAACAACTAACGTTTACAACATATGCTTTTATAAATATACAAATAGAATACCAAATCTTAGGCTCATAACACTTTCTTATTTACTATAGAAGTTCAAAAAACTTTCTGTTTCTTACATTTTAAGTTTATAGAACAGTACAATGTTATATATAATTGGCACATTCAATTTGAGGGCAATACCAAATTTGTGTAGCAATGTAAATGATTTCGGTATCCCAAAGGAAAATCTTCGATCTTTGTTTCGGTGGTTACTGTCTGCAATTATATATATAACGAATACTGTTTGTATAGTATTTACTATACATGTTTAGGTACATTTATTATACAGCTCATTATGTTAGTTGTTCATTTTCTAGATAAGTTATTAATAAGTCATCAACTAACACTGACTTATTACATTTCATCGAATTTCAGACTTTGGTTAAACCGCGCGTTTAAGTCACTGTTCTTGTGTGTTTTATTTTATTTTTTTGTATGAAGAAAAGCAAATCTTTTGCTCGTATGACGCTTGTATACTTAATACTGTTACTTCTTATCCGGATATTTATTGCCTTCAAGCAATTTCAATCGTGTTTATGTTTAACCAGTGCTTGATTTGGGGGGACGTGGCGGAGCGATAAGAATATTTGCATAAATAGGTACAAATCAAAATAAATAAGTTACAGTTCCGGTACCTATTTTTTTACAAATCGAGCACTGTGTTTAACTAATATGTTGTGTCAAACTTAGACGGCGTGCACTGGTATTCTTCATGTATGAATACTATATATTTGGTAGAAAATCATTGGTTTTAGATTCAATGTTTTGTAAGTTTTGATGATAAATTGATGGATTGTTTAAGGTAGTTCTTATTATTACGATGATAACTCATAAGTGTTTTGTATAATGAAGATTTACTGTTCGTAGAAAAAGTGTTGTTCGCTTAGAATTCAGTATAATTGCTGTATTATTTCCGTTTTTAAATTACCCCTTATACTGTAAACTGCTTCCTCTCCCCGCGTTTTACTTGTCAATCGGGTAACCATGTTGTGGGTAAACTGTGGGTGTACAGTACTGTACATACAATTAAGGTTCAATCGATATAAAAATCTCTACAACCAAATACCAAAAACCTTATAATTCCCTTATAATTTACCTGATTTTTAAAAATCTTAAATTAAAAATAACAGTTTCAATAATTTCTCCCCATAATATACAAGTTTTCAGGAGTAGTCAGTGCACTCACCGGGTGAACATGGTATGGTTTCCGTTATTGGCCGCCACTTTGCCGTCTATCTTATCACTGGAGTCACACACACACACGCCACTTCACGTCACTCCATACTGATAATAGCATCACTCTACCGACACTGATCTACCGGCGGTCGCTGGTACACTGTGCGACCACCGCCGCAGCCACCGCCACTCCTCCTCTCCCATTGGTCGTCTTGGCTGCTCTCTCATTGGCCGAAGGAAGATGCTCTGTCGCCGCTCGTCATCTTGGCTCCGCCCATTCGTCACACTCGGCGACCTTGTGGTTCGCACGCTGACAGACGTTACTTCCTCCTCCGGTTTGGGAGGTCCAAAACGGAACTCTTCAAATTGGGTGGAACGGTAGGGTTGGCTGACATCACGATTTTCCGGACTTTGCTGAGTTTGTTGGCCTTGGACTTTGGAGAATATTTTAGGTCACGGGATGAGAAAGGGCAGTGAAAGACATTTGTGAGGAATGCTTTGGAAAAGAAGAGTTTTAGTTAATTGCTCACAAACAGCTTCTCAATCTTACTAATCTTCTTCCTCAATAGAATCCTCAAAGATGGGGGTTTGTTTATACCAAAGTAAGTGAGTGTGTGTGTGTGTCAAAGAGTGTGTTTAGATCCTCCTATATTTTCACAAATATTTGTGGGAATTGAACCGCTTTCCCCAAAAGCGTTGCTGATTTCTAAATTCGTTAACACTAACTTAAAAGGTGATGTGACGTAATAAACCTTGTGTATTTCAAAGTTCAAATTCTCTATGTGTTTGTATTTTTAAATAGTCTAATTTTGAGAGTGTGCATGATTTAAGTCGGTACTAAGCTGTGCTATTGTTGATAAAGTAATATGTAGCATTTGTGCAGACAGAATATAATAAAACATAGGCCTAATTATTTCTAATACCACTACATTATTATCAACCACCCTTTATATTTCCTTTAGAAGAGGATCAGAGGTAAGAGGAAGAGGCTTTATTTGTTAAAGGTTCTTTCAGCCATCGAGAAAATTAGTGGTGAAGAATATTAAGAATCCTGAACCGTCCTTAGTCCCTGAAGTTTGAGAGAAGCTTCAGAGGCTTTTACATGCATGGGCATCGTTTCAATAGACAATAGACAATAGACAATAGACAATAGACAATTCTTTATTCCGTTAAACAATATACATTGCAATAGGAAAGGTCAATACAATTTAAACTATAATACAGTCATCGTTTTGTAAACATTAAACAAAAGTTTTACAATCTAAAAAATCTTTGGTAGAGAAAAAGGCATTTGCTTTAAGGAGTACAGAGATGGCTGACTTAAATTTGACATAATTGAGATTTCTTAATTCTAGTGGTAACTTATTGTATAACTGCAACTGTTGATACAAATGACAATTCAAGGTTTTACTTAGCCTAACATGGGGGGTGGACAGATCATTTCTATTTCTGGTTAAGTGTACATGACAAGAAGCTTGTGTAGAAAATGAGTTGATGTTTTGTTTTACATGGAGGAGGTTACTAAAAATATACAAAGAAGGCACTGTTAAATATTTAGTAATTCAACTAAGGACATTTAATAAAATATTTATTTAATAACATATGAACTATATACAGTCAAATATAAACAATTAATCAAGTAGTATTAACATTCAAGTCAAGTTTTTAGTTCAGTTATTGAAAGGATACAACAGCTGATATGATGACATCACTGTCCAAAGTTCACTACAGCACTTCGTACTAGTCAGTTCAGTTTAGACTCACCTCTCTCACAGTACACAGTGCTTACCTTTTGGTTTAGTTCATATTAAATATTTTAATCTCTCTTTCTCTCTTACCGCTCCAAGTGCATTATTTCATCATTTCTCATTTAAATATGGATTCCAAATTTATAGTACCAAGTGTCAAGCTAGGATCCAAGAAGATATTTTTATTTAAAGTAAATGTGTTGTAAATTTTCGTGTACAGTCCAGAATATTCATGAGTAGTGAATTGCTTTCCTTTTATTAATGAAGAAGAGTTTTAATTTAAATCAGTGAAGAATTACATACTACACAACAATAGTCATTTCTCAACATCATCTTTCATCTGTGGTCCTTCGATTCTCGTCACTCTGGCCAGAGCCATCGCTTCTCTGCTCATCTTGTTCCTGTTCTACCAAAACCCTAATGGATCTTCAGTTTTAGGATCTAAAGGTATTTCTCACAATTTTACCTCTTAATACCATATTTAACATGGTCCTTCGAGCCGGATGTTTCCCAGCCTATGGAAAATAATCTACTGTGACTATTAAGTTTTGTATTTATTTGAACTGAATAAATTAATTGAATAAATCTGTCATCAACATTAAGTATCATTAACAAGAGGATTAAATATTTTTGATCACATTATTATCAATTTATTAAATTGTTGCAGTAATTTGTGAAATAACACATAAAGTTTTGTTGTCCCAGACAGAAAATTTTGTTCTCAGACTGTACTGTCTACAACTCCTGTATTTTCATGCATAGTTTGTCTATTCTCTATTGTGCATTATCGGGCTGCATCCTGTCTGCCCCCCTCTCTCCCCCCTGTAATGTGAAACAAGTTTCTCTCTTGTTGCTGAATATTCAGAAAATCATGGAAGTCATACCAACTTCACAGCTGATCAACACTAGCGCTGCTGATGGATAGAAATGAAAACTTAAATGTCATTATGCAAGACTTTGTTTATGTTTTCATAACCTCAATTGTTTGCTTACACTTTTAAATTAAAGTGACAGAAGAATGTTTATTAATACGGATTGAACATTTAATTACAGTTTGTGTTTGAAATAACATGTTTTATTGAATTTCAAATTTATTATCTGGAAATAATTGCAGGTAGATATTTTCTGGGACTTAAACTTTTTATAGGCCTATACTATGGCTGAATATTTCTCTCTGATTTCAAGTTGACTAATATTAATATTTAATACAATGAATCCTGGCTGTCTTTAAATAAGTTTTGCTCATTATAAACTTATTTTAATCTGCATTTATTTTTATTTTGGAATTTTATTGAATTTAAGACTTATTCAAAATGAGGTTCTCAACTTTTGTGAAGCAATCTGAGCTTGTGCTAGCCAGGCTTAAGTCAATTGAAGCAAAAGTGCTTGCTATCGAAAAGGAACCTATCACTCCTCAACTTATAACAAAGCTCACTCTTTTGGATTCCACCGCTACAGCCAAAAATAATGATTTTGACAAATTAGTGAATAAGTTGTTCGGCACTGTGCCTTTACCTGAGGAATTAGATGAAAGTGAAAATATCACTACAATTTCAACATTACAAGATGAAATAAGTGATCTCTATGTGTCTATTCACTCTTTGTGTGTGAACTTGATACCTTCCCCAAGCTCTAACCAGTCGAGCCAGCCAAACCTGGATGATTCCAATGCAGCTATCAGCCAAGTAGCTACAACTAAGGTTAGTGTACAGCTTCCTAAACTTCAACTTGGTACCTTCTCAGGTCAACATGAAAAGTGGATGGCGTTCAAAAATTTGTTTGAAAATACTATTCATAAAAATGATAGTATTTCTGGTGTTGAAAAAATGAGTTATTTGTTAAGCTGTCTTGAGGGAGAGGCACTTTCAGTTGTTAAAAACATCCCTATGACTAATGCTAATTATTTTATTGCATGGGAATCTCTACTTAAAAGGTATCAGAATACAAGATTACTAATCTCTCTTCATGTCAACAATGTGTTAGACTTACCAGTTCTTCACAATCCCTCAGTGAAGCAACTTAGAAGGTTTTTGTCTGTTTTAAATGAAAACATTGAAGCACTTAAAGCTCTAGATGAAGAAATTTCTCAGGAAAATTTAATTTTGACCTCTCACTTGTTAAGAAAATTTGATTCTGATTTTCGCCATCATTTTGAACAGAGTCGAAGTGATAACTCTGTAACTCCTAAGTTAGATGAGTTAACCAAGTACATTGAGTCTCACTGTGTAAATCTTGAAGCAGCTAATCTTACTAATGTGGGATCATCTCTTAAGGGTACCTTAGGCCACCACACTCAAGTAAAACCCCCTTAGCGCTCAAATAAATCGGCGCTTATTGCAACTCCTCGCACTGTTTGTACATTTTGCGCAGGTGCAGATCACAAAATCTATCAATGCAAAGGTTTTCTTAAATTGACTTCACAAGAAATGTATAATTTTGTTAAAGGCAAAAATTTGTGCACCAACTGTCTTGGCGATAAGCATAAGGTAAAGGAATGCAATTCATGGCGTACATGTTCTACGTGTAAAAGAAAACATCACTCTCTTTTGCATTTTATGGATTCTGAAAATAATCCCTCTCCTAATGTGTCTAAAGGTAACACAGACAAACGAGCTCCAAGTTCTGACTCAAATAAAAATGAATCTGGTTTTGTTGGTTTGACAAATACAGAGAACACAGTTCTTCTTGCCACTGCTTTAATTGTGGTAAAATCAAGCGAAGGTAAGACCCTAGTTTGTAGGGGAGTTTTAGATTCTGCTGCTCAGTCTACCTTCATTACTCAAAGATGTGCTCAGTCTTTAAGGATTAAGCGCTCTCATGCTAATAAAACGCTTATTAATGGCATCTCGTCTGCTCAGGTGAAAACAAAAGGGTTAACTCATGTCACTCTCCAGTCCCTTAGTGGATATGTATTGGCAAGCTCTCACCCTGTCTTCATTTTGGATAATATCACTCCAGATTTACCTCGAGCTAAGATCACTCCTGAAGTTCGCTCACAGATGCAACATTTAATGTTAGCCGATCCTACTTTTGATAAACCCGCTCCTATTGATGTTCTAATTGGAGCTGACCTTTTTGCCTCCTCTGTGAAAGGCCAGTTTTTGTCACTTGGTGAGAATATGCCTGTAGCAATTGACACCATTTTTGGATATGCGCTCTTAGGATCGACCCCTGTTGCCTCAACTTGCAAAAATTCATTTCATGGATTAGTCACACTCTTAACCACCAATAGTTTGGATCTTCACACCTCTATCCAACAGTTTTGGGCTGTAGAGGAACCCCCTCTTACAAGCAAGCAATCCTTAGCCGAAGAAAAATGTGAAAAACATTTTGTATCTACGCACTCTCGCACTCCTGAAGGAAGATATATTGTCTCTTTGCCTTTCTCAGACGATCCGTCAACATTAGGCAACTCGAGCAAAATGGCAAAATCCCTATTCTGGTCTCTGGAGAATAAATTTCGTTCTAATCCTGATTTCAAGGAAACTTATGTTGATTTTATGAGAGATTACCTGTCTTCGGGACATATGACACTCTGTCAGTCACCACGTCTTAAAAATAATCCTCATTACTACCTTCCACATCATGGAATTTTTAAAGATGGAAAATTAAGGGTAGTATTCAACGCATCAGCACCTACATCAACATCTCTGTCTCTCAACAGTATTCTTCATCAAGGACCAAAACTCCACAACAACATATGTGACATCATTCTCAACTTTCGCCGACATGCGGTTGTTTTTTCATGCGACATCAAGCAGATGTTTCGACAAGTCCTTGTAAAGGAATCTGATCAGATATTTCAACTTATTTTCTGGAGAGAGAATGATAAAATGCCTCTTCAAATCTATCAGCTAGCGACTGTCACTTATGGGCTCACATCATCGCCCTACTTGGCAAATCGTGTCATTCAACAACTCATTATTGATGAAGGAAAAAATCATCCTCTAGCCGCAACTGCTCTAAAGGATCAGATTTATGTCGATGACGCCCTATTGGGTAGTAATTGCGTAGAAAACGCTCTTTTGTTGAAAAATGATGTGGTTCAGTTACTCAAAAAAGGAGGTTTCGAGTTAAGAAAATGGTCTTCGAATAATCCATTACTCTTACAGTCGATCCCTGAAGATCACAAAGAAAAACCTATTGGTTTTCGAGCTCCCGAACAACCAGTTCATAGTGTTTTAGGACTTAAATGGATTCCTAATGAAGATGTTTTTTCTTATTCTGTAGGAACTCAAAATATTAAGGAAACTCCTACAAAAAGAATTGTTTTAAGTGTGATATCACAGATCTATGACCCGTCAGGATGGTTAACTCCTGTAACCTTCTGGTCCAAATCCTTCATGCAATACTTATGGACACTTGGTCTCGATTGGGATGAACCCCTAGACGACAGCGTTATATCAGTTTGGAACAAGTTCGCCAATGAACTTCCATATATTGAAATGCTCAAGATACCTCGCTACGTGGGACTTTCTTCAGCTAAAGATATTCAGCTACATGCTTTTTCTGATGCAAGTGAAGCAGGATATTGTAGTTGTGTTTACCTGAGAGTTGTAAATTCACAAGGAATTATATCGACTTATCTTCTGATAGCGAAGTCAAGAGTCGCACCTCTGAAGCGTATTTCCATACCTCGCTTGGAGCTCTGCGGAGCACACCTGATGTCTAAGCTCCTAAATTACTGTATACAACTTCTCTCACCTCACTGCAAGATTAGTTCATACACAGCTTGGTGCGATTCCACAATCGTGCTTTCATGGATTGGCATGCCCTCTTATCGACTCAAGGTTTATGTGTCAAATCGAGTTGCAGAAATACAGGAAAATATCCCACCTTCATTTTGGCAACATATTTCATCACTAGAAAATCCAGCGGATGTTGGGTCAAGGGGTACCGCCCCACAAGATTTGATTAACCACACACTTTGGTGGAATGGACCTGTCTGGTTGTGTAACTCTGAAGAAAATTGGCCAAAGTCTGTCTGTAAATCTTTACCTGAAGAGTCTATCCCTGAAACTAAGATTCTCACAGTTAACACTCTCTCTGCTGTTCCGGATGAACCATTTTCTCTCCTCACTCGCTTCTCATCTTGGACAACACTACTTCATGTTTCCGCATACCTGCTGCGCTTCATTCATAACACCAGAAATAAAGTTAAACAAATTGGGAATTTAACTTCTCAGGAGATAAAAGAGGCTCATAACCTGATTTGTAAATTGGTTCAACGAGAATATTTTTCTGAAGAAATCTCATGTTTGAAATCCAATAAACCTTGCTCTGTACGCATTAGACGCCTAGCTCCTTATCTGGATAAAGATGGCCTCATTCGAGTAGGGGGAAGAATAAACAAGGCTGATATCTCTGAAGATCACAAACACCCCGTCTTGCTACCTAAAGGTCATAGGTTAGTTGATATTTTGATTGACCACCATCATGTCTTATATTTGCACTCTGGTCCAACTCTAACTCAGGCTATGCTGGCAAACAAGTACTGGATTCTCAGTGCTAGAAGCTTAATAAGATCTAGGATCTTTAAATGCATAAAATGTTTCAGATGTAAACCTCCTCATTCTTCTCCACTCATGGGGGAATTACCTATGAATCGAGTTACACCTTCAAGGCCATTTTCCATATCTGGTGTAGATTATGCAGGACACTTCTTTGTGAAGCAACATCTACTAAGACGAGTTCAACCTATCAAGGTTTATATTTGTATATTTATTTGCTTCTCTACTAAGGCGGTACACATAGAAGTAGTAACCGACCTAACAGCGGATGCCTATTTAGCCGCTCTTACCAGATTTGTCTCCAGACGAGGAATCGTTTCAGATATTCACTGTGACAATGCTACAAATTTCACAGGTGCATCCGAAAAACTCAGACGCAACTTTGAAAATTTAATCAAGGATTCCACAGTACAATGCTACGCTGAGAATTTCAATATTAAATTTCACTTCTTACCTCCACATGCACCTCATCAGGGAGGCCTTTGGGAGAGGGCTGTCAAAAGTGTGAAATTTCACCTAATAAGAGTCATTGGACAACAGACCCTGTCACTGGAAGAGTTTTCGACTTTAATCACCCGTATTGAAGGAATGATGAACTCTAGGCCTATAACTCCTCTTTCTTCTGATCCCTCGGACCTAGAAGCTTTGACGCCAGGTCATTTTTTAGTAGGTGGTCCTCTTATGACACCTCTTGAACCTGACTTGCGTAGCATTCCTATCAACCGATTAAAACGCTGGCAGGTAGTCCAACAGTTCAGTCAACATAATATGGGTCGCTTCAGTCAACGAGATATTATCTGGGCTCGCTGGCAGAAAGAGTATCTGTACACTCTTCAAGAGAGAAATAAATGGGTCAACCCCAAGAAGAATATTGAAGTCAATGACTTGGTTGTCATTCATGAAGACAACTTGCCTCCACTCTCCTGGAAGCTTGGACGAGTTCTCTCCGTTTCACCTGGTACTGATGGAATAGTACGGGTCGTGCACCTGAAGACCGCAAGTGGACACCTCTCTCGTCCTGTGACAAAGGTGTCTGTCCTTCCTATGGAATAGTGAAGAGGAGTTACCACCCCCCTTTTTTATTGATTTTCTCATTTTTTGTGTTGTTTTCAGAACCCAGGGGTTCAGGGGGGGCCGGTATGTTAAATATTTAGTAATTCAACTAAGGACATTTAATAAAATATTTATTTAATAACATATGAACTATATACAGTCAAATATAAACAATTAATCAAGTAGTATTAACATTCAAGTCAAGTTTTTAGTTCAGTTATTGAAAGGATACAACAGCTGATATGATGACATCACTGTCCAAAGTTCACTACAGCACTTCGTACTAGTCAGTTCAGTTTAGACTCACCTCTCTCACAGTACACAGTGCTTACCTTTTGGTTTAGTTCATATTAAATATTTTAATCTCTCTTTCTCTCTTACCGCTCCAAGTGCATTATTTCATCATTTCTCATTTAAATATGGATTCCAAATTTATAGTACCAAGTGTCAAGCTAGGATCCAAGAAGATATTTTTATTTAAAGTAAATGTGTTGTAAATTTTCGTGTACAGTCCAGAATATTCATGAGTAGTGAATTGCTTTCCTTTTATTAATGAAGAAGGGTTTTAATTTAAATCAGTGAAGAATTACATACTACACAACAATAGTCATTTCTCAACATCATCTTTCATCTGTGGTCCTTCGATTCTCGTCACTCTGGCCAGAGCCATCGCTTCTCTGCTCATCTTGTTCCTGTTCTACCAAAACCCTAATGGATCTTCAGTTTTAGGATCTAAAGGTATTTCTCACAATTTTACCTCTTAATACCATATTTAACAGGCACAGTCATAATGTTTAGCTCTACAAAACTAGCTCTACAACAACCTCTAGAGGCAAGGTTAGCAAGTACTCTGATGGCTTTTCTCTGCCATCGAAAAACTTTGGTTACATGGTTTCATCCAATAATTAGATTGACCTGGGTCATAGGACCTTTGGACATCTTTGACCCCTTCTAACACGTTTGGTATTTCGTCTCACGGTCATCAAGAAGAATATTTGGTGTCGAGCAGAACTAATAAGCTTCCGAAGATAAAGAAATATACTATTGCACACATTTAAGAATAGCCAGATAGAAATGGGAACTTAGTCAAACATTCTTTTGACTCTTTATCGATGCCATCTTTATACTTATCGGAACATACCGTACCCCTGACCATCAAACAGAATCCGAATTCTTAAATAAACTAGAGACATGCCTGCAAAGATTCTCGTCAAATTCGACTAAAATACTAATACTTGGTGATGCAAACTTTAACATTTTAAAACCTGAAGAACAGAGTACCATAAATTTAAATAACACTCTCAGAAAACATGGCTGCCACGCTTATTTTATCCCAATAACAAGACAAACCCCAACTAGCACTACAAGCATAGATGGATGTTACACCAACTTCCTGGATGAAGAATTAGAAGTTACCGCACACAAAAACACAATCTCAGATCACCATCTTCTTTTATGCACAATATTCATCAGGACTAAAGACCAAAAGGCAACCTATAAATATCTTAGAAATTTTTCCTAATCAAATTTAGACCAACTAAAGTCCCAACTTCACCATGCCGACTGGACATCAGTTTACGGATTCGCGGACCGAGGAGCGCACAATACTTGCTCTAATGGGAGGTCATAAATAAAATCCGTAGGGGTAGGACCAAGGAGCGCAGAGGTACCTTGCGCGCCTCGGTCCTACCCATGCAAGGAACTAATCCCCTAATTATACGGATTAAAAGAGACGATGGCTGGGTCAACCCTGCAAGTAAATCCCATTAGTCGTGCCTCATTGAATACACTACTTTAAAATGAAAATGTAAGGAGTAATTTTGAAACTATAAATATGTTAACAGAGACAATGCAAGATACTGTATTATGCATTCGAAGTAGTTATCTTAAAAACAGTTGGTTTTTGTCCTACGGTAATAAGCCCATTTTCAATGCAGACAAACTGCATATTTTTCTAAGTGCAGTTTAATAAAAATTAAATATTTATCACTAAATAGTACGGAACTAAATTTGCATTATTCTATTATAATTAAAATCATATTAGATTATTTGAGACAGCTAAACTTTCTCTCTGCGTTTCAGAACTATCAAATGTTTACATTATTTTGTTTTGCAGGTATAGTTTATGCAATTTTGAAATAGCTATTTAGGAGCAACGCATACCATTCTTGAAACTAATTCTTAAGAACAACATTATATTATGTTGTGCATTTCCGGATTAGGTGGGTGAGCCTACTGCTGAAAGTGATATTTGCCAAATGACAATGTGCCTGGGCTAAATTTACTTCAAAAAGTAGTGTTGTTTACATAGGCTTTGTTTAAATTTAAAAATACTTTTTGAATAAGAATTACTTCGGTTTTTCTGAAAGTATATAGTTAGAAATATCTGAAAATAAATCGATTATTTTGTTTAGTTTACTTTTTTAACTGTTGTATTGCCGACAAAAAAGTGTATCTAATGAAAACATTTACTCCTCAAGATCCTATAATTATTCCCAACTGTTTAGACAAGCACAAATTTGTTTAATCAGAATTTACTTGGCTATTTCCAAAGTAATGGTTTAAGCTTCGTTTAAGTGGATTTTATAGCCTCCGGATAACCAATAAATATAAACATAATTACTCTATTTTAATGCTAAATTCAAATAACAATAACCGGCACATACTCTGAAAGGAATTCTAAAAAAAGAGTAAACTACAAAAATTAAAACTTGTCTTTATTCAAGTAGTGTTACCAGTTACAAAGTAAATTATCTATTATAAAAAAATAAACTTTTGAGTCTAGAATCAAATAAGAGATAATAAGTAATGAGTAACTTACAATCAGTGACGTGGGTTTTTTTTTAATTTCTTGCTGTACATCTAATAAGGTGACCAATTTTACAAATTCGTTACCGGTGCAGATTCCTAAAGAAAGTTCTATTCTCGGTTAATGTTAACGGTGCAATTGGTACATTTTCTAACTAATGTCACAGATTCGTGGGTAAAAATACTTCATTGGGGCAAATAAATCCTAATCAGAGTGCACCATTAGTCAGCATCCACAATGTAATATACTGTGATTTTTCTTTAAATTAACAATAACTGTTTCATCTAAATAAGGCTAACTGATTATTTCAGGGCAAAATAATCAAACTTATTTATCCAGCGAGAACAAAGTTATTTTTGAAAAACATCAAACCGTAGGCCTACAGTTTAAACATTTTTTAGGCCTATACAAACATTAGTAACAATGAATGATGTTGTTTGACGTTGTGACATGTTGCTATTTAGACATTGTGATGACAATGTTATATTATACATCATTTGTGTCATTTAACAAACGTTTTACATGGTGACAGCATAAACGCCAAATATAGATGATAATTCGAAAACTAAAAGAAAGTACTGTAATACAAATTGAGTTTAAATTAGGAAGATGATTTGGAATTGCAATAACTTTAAAATTATATGGAATTTGATTCATGCTACCATATAAAGTGTTGGCTAAGTAACTTTAAAAAATTGTTCCTTTGTAAAATCTTGTTTTTGTAATATTATGTTATCACTGTTGGCATTAAAAAGTAAAGCTTACCTCCTAAGAAATGTGAAATGAATTGAGAATGGCCCGTATTGTATTTTTGGAAAAAATATATGGGATTCGAAATAGTACAAAATTGTCCACATAAAAAGTCATCATTTTGACACAAATACAATATACATAGTAAAATTCTGACTCCGATCCTTGCTCTCGAGTCTGAGAAACTGCAAAGTATATCAACTATATACTGTATTGGTACGTATGTTTTGTATTACCTTTTCTTTTTATCAATCAATGGAAAAATAAAGTACTTCAATGGATATGCGCATTTTACATATCATAAAGAAGAGATGGTTTCTGTCTGTTGAATTTACCTATAAAACTAAGATGAAAAATTCAGGTTGTTTTTTATCAATGGTGGGTACACGTTGAAAGCATTTAATTGTATTCATGGATTTAAATTAGCTAAGGATTTTACAAACCATTCCTGCATAAAAATTAGTATATTTCATAGCGAGGGGTCCCATTGCAAATTTGCACATTTTAATAGGGTTCAACACCTTTTCTAAGGTAAAACTAACGGTGCTATACCCCTTTCTTTTCAAAGATTATGTTTGTTTAAAGCAGTTATTAAAAGTTAATAAACTTACTAATTACAATAATTTCCATTCATTGATTTTAGATCCACACCATGAAGACTAAAGTCACCTACCTTAATCAAGTCGCAATTATTAAAAAGTAGCCTATTTAAAATCCATTTTTATAAAATAAAAAAAATCTAAATGTGGTTTAACATTCAACTGAAGGATCAGCTTTTATATTGCAATTTAAATTCGAAAGTGAAAGTGTACGGCCTGGTAATTTGTTGATACATTAGTTTGGTAATAAGTTGCACTAGAAAAATATACCTGAATCAATGGTGTAGTCAGTGAGGTGCGACTAATGGGATTTACTCAAAGGGTCGACTCAAGCATTGTCTTGTTCAACCCTCGTAAGTAGGGGATTAGTTCCTTGCACGGGTAGGACCAAGGAGCGCAAGCACCTCTGCGCTCCTTGGTCCTACCCCGACGAATTCTTCGGCCGAGGGGTTGACAGTTTTACGACTTGCGCTCCTCTGTCCGTTTCCCCAGTTTACGAGCCTCTGGACATCGATGACAAATACAACAATTTCTTGAGTATAATGAAACTAAACATTGAACAGGCTATGCCCAGAGTATCAACTAGAATAATAAACACCAAAACTCCAATTTTCTGGGACAACACAACACTTTCGCTAAAGGCTTCGCTCAATGAAGCACAAAACAAATATTATCTAACGAACTCTGAAGATGACAAAAATAACTATCTGAGAATCAAACAAACTTACGACCAAGATGTCAAGAATAAAAGAAAATTTCACACCACAGCTAAAATTCAGCAAGCAGACAATAAAAATAAAGAGCTCTGGAATACAGTCAATAGAGAAAGAAATAAAAAAGCA